AGCTCCGCACGCCCCAAGCTTCGGGATTAGCACAGTGGTCCGCTAGCCCTGGGAGAGCCACGCGACGTCGCAGGGCTCTCCCAGGGCTAGCGGAGACCTTGCTGGCACCCAGAAGCTTGGGGCGCGCTGAGCTCCGCACGCCCCAAGCTTCTGGATTAGCGCAGTAGTCCGCTAGCCCTGGGAGAGCCACGCGACGTCGCGGGGCTCTCCCAGGGCTAGCGGAAACCTTGCCAGCACCCAGAAGCTTGGGGCGCGCTGAGCTCCGCACGCCCCAAGCTTCTGGATTAGCGCAGTGGTCCGCTAGCCCTGGGAGAGCCGCGCGACGTCGCGGGGCTCTCCCAGGGCTAGCAGAGGCCTTGCCGGCACCCAGAAGCTTGGGGCGCGCTGAGCTCCGCATGCCCCAAGCTTCTGGATTAGCGCAGTGGTCCACTAGCCCTGGGAGAGCCACGCGACGTCGCGGTGCTCTCCCAGAGCTAGCGGAGACCTTGCCGGCACCCAGAAGCTTGGGGCGCGCTGAGCTCCGCACGCCCCAAGCTTCGGGATTAGCGCAGTGATCCGCTCGCCGTGGGAGAGCCGCGCGACGTCGCGGGTCTCTCCCAGGGCTAGCGGAGACCTTGCCGGCACCCAGAAGCTTGGGGCGCGCTGAGCTCCTCACGCCCCAAGCTTCGGGATTAATGCAGCGCTCCGCTAGCGGTGGGAGAGCTGGGTCTCCCACTGCTAGCGGATAGCTTCCTGAAGCCTGGAGAGCGAGAGGGGTCAGTGCACACCGACCCCTCTCACTCTCCAGGCTTCAGCAAAAGCCTGCATTCGCTCCATAGGACGCACACACATTTTCCCTTGCTTTTTAGGAGGGAAAAAGTGCGTCCTATGGTGCGAAAAATACGGTACCAAACTTTTAGAAGACATCTGAAGGCTGCCCTGTGTAGGGAAGCTTTTAATGTTTAATAGGTTATTGTATTTTAGTGTTCTGTTGGAAGCCGCCCTGAGTGGCTGGGGAAACCCAGCCAGATGGGAGAGGTATAAATAATAAATTATTTTTATTTTTATTGGGGGCCCCTTCCTGGGGGAGGATCTGCAGCCAAATCACAAATGCATGATTGCTAGAAAGTCACAAGCAGGTGACCCTATGATGTTATATCCTCTAAACTGTTGTGGTAGAAAGGGGGGGGGAGAGGAACCCAATCTTCTTTCTTTTGCTCCTCCTCCTCCTCCTTACCTGCAATGGTCAGGGTTCTCTGTGAGCTCTCCTCCAGAGAGCGCCCTCCATTTTGAACTGGACTATGGACGTTTGTAACTTTTAAGAATTATCACCTGCTTGATTTCCATCACTGAACATGCTGAATCCTGGCAAGACCTTTAAGTGAGTAAAGTATATACAGTGGTACCTCTGGTTGTGAAAGGGATCCGTTCTGGAGCCCCGTTCGCAACCTGAGCAGAAAGCAACCCGCATCTGTGCATGCATGGGTAGCGATTCGCCGCTTCTGCACATGTGTGTGACGTCATTTTGAGCATCTGTGCATGCGTGAGCGGCAAAACCCAGAAGTAACCCTTTCTGGTACTTCTGGGTTGCCGCGGGACGCAACCTGAAAACGCTCAACCTGAAGCAAACGCAACATGAGGTATGACTGTATTTTCCTGGTTTACTTAAGCAGTTTGAGAGTGATTTCTTTGTTAAGAAGGAATCAGGAGAAGATGACCCAAGTCTGCCTAAACATCCTTGGATAGTAAAGCTGCTCTAGAAAATCACACAACCGTGTCCTAAAAGCTTCTAGAGATCAGCTGCCCACAGATGGTGGCATTACTCTGCTGAAATAGGTATTTGCATACTTACACCCGTGAGAAAAAGAGGAAGGATAATTAGTAAGTAAAATATCCTCTCCTGCTCATCTAAATCCATCCAACGCGTCCAATCCTACGATTCTATGATGTGTCGTGCCCCTCTGGTTTTCCTGCCCAGGTTGCTTCTGTCTCTCCTCCCTCCCTGCCTGTTCCAGGGGTTCATCTTGTGCCCACCTGCTCCCTCTGCTCCAGGCTGATCTCAATGGGCTCGTCATCCTGCTCCCTCCGTGTGGGCCGGGCAAAGGCTGGCGGCGTGAAGAAGGTGGTGCGGTCAAAGTCTTCGGGCTCCACCCCTCGCCCGTCCCGCAGCCTCTCCCAGGCCGCCCTGCGGAAGCGGATCTCCTCCTTCTGCTGGAGCCCCGCCGAAGACCCTGCTTCCGACGCCTCCTCTTCTCTGAGTTCCTGCACCGTGTCCTCGATGGTGCCCCTCCGGCTGGTGCTGCCCTCCGACTTGCGTTCTCGCAGCCCGTCCTTGAAGGCCGACACGGCCAGGCTGACCTTCTGGACCTGCTCCACGGTCTGCCGCCTGGACATCAGAACCCCCATGGCTCTGAAAGAGAGGCAGCCGGGAGAAGGGGTTGGTACCAATTAGGATTCTCTGAGAGGAGCTAGCAGGGGGAGAGCTCGCCCACCCATGTAATAAACAAAAATCTGCCCTTATTCCCTTATGGGGGACACAAGAGACCTTTCAGAGTCCTTTGCAGGTTCTCCAGCAGTCGGAGAAAATAACCAGAGAATTTTGAGAAGCAAAGCAGCTCGTAAGCCTGATCTTTATTGAACTGTTGCAACAGGGTGCCCCCCTCACGTGCAGGAAAGGAGGAGGACCCCGAACAAAGGTGTGCCCGCCCTTATATAGACATTTTAAATTGCCCACCCTGGAGTCCAAGACCACACCCAGAAACATCATACCTACATCACAGAAAGGGCGGTCTACAACAGAAATTAGAGTGCTTTGTTTACCTCCTGTCTGGCAAGTTACCTGTTAATGCCCTTAACTTGCCATTTTTTATTCCTGTGCTGATCTATATACGTGCTTGGTTGGTACACTTATGAACATTGAACATATAACTGAGACCTCAAATTCCTATCACAGTGCCTTGCTGGGCAGGAGAGCCACCCCTATTTCATAGAATTGTAGAATTGAAAGGGATTCCTGAGGGCATCTAGTCCCACCCCGTGCCCTGCAGGAATCCTGCCCACAGCATCCCTGGCTGGGCTCAAACCACCAACCTTCTGGCTAACTGCTGGATGCACTGAGCCACTGCATCACCGGAAGGACAGAACTTATTTTCTGGTATCCCAAAGATCATTGTCCTTATTTTGTCCATGCCCCCCCCGCCCTTGGAATGGGGGAGGGGAGAGAAGAACAGAAGTCCATGTCATGTCCAGTTTGTGACTAAATTAGAAGTAAAAAGACCCAAAGTGTGTGTGTGTGTGGGGGGGATGAGACTGGGACAGGCTTGTTGCATGCGTCTGGAGGGGGAAAGGGGGGCCCCTCGCCCCACTGAATGACCCATAATAACTGGAAGATCCATCCTAACCAGAGAGCCAGTGTGGTGTAATGGTTGCTGGTTGAGGGTGTGGGAGATCGGGGTTCGAATCCCCACTTGCGATGAAGCTCACTTGGTGTAGGAATAACGGAGGACGACAGGAGGTTGGATGCAGGTGAGCTGTGCAGAATCACGCTGGCAAGCATCCTCCAAGACAAGCTGCTGGCCAGCTCTGTAGAGGCTCCTTTTATTAGCACCATATGCAAAACCAGTCAGATACGTTTGGGACTGTGACCTTTACACATCTTCCAATCCCGAGATTGTGGGGTGGTACACAGTTATTTTGGCATCTGTTTCCACTGCATCATTTCCCCCTTCCACGATGTATGACGAAGGAGACAAAGGTCACAGACAGGGCACAGCAAACCACTAAGAGAGCAAAGGTTAGATAGAGGGCATGATGTTCAGACAGCTGTGGCTTTGTCTGCTGGTGGAAGTGTGCTCCACACCCGGCAATCATTCCTTCAACTTGGTGATTTCGGAGGCAAGTCACTGTCTTCTAGCCTAACCTCTACCTCACAGGGTTGTTGTGGGGATTGAAAGAGGAGTGGGAGAGCCACTCTGAGCCCGGTTTTAGCCGGGGAGGGTGAGGTATAAATAAAATTAATTATTATTATTATTATTATTATTATTATTATTATTATTATTATTATTATTGGCATCTTGAGCTCCATGGAGGGGAAAGTGGGGTATAAATGCAATAAATAAATTGGATTAATTTATAAATTGTTTTCATTTAGAAAACCAAGTCTCTAGGCCTTGTGGCATTCGAGGTACAGGGAAGAACATTCGGCCACAATTCTGCCCAGTCGTTTTGTGAGAGATTAGACTTTCCCCACCTTTCGGTATTTTTCATAAAAGAATAGAGTCGCGGCAATGCTCAATTCTTTTGAAAGCAAAGACAGTGATTTTGGCAGAAAGAAAATGAGGTTAGGGTGGTGCTGCTATTGTCTGGAGAAGGAACTCCTTGTTTAATTTTTAAGGCGTTTGTTTGTTTGTTTGTTTTGTTTCAAGAAGTAGGGGACATGAGATGATGGCAGCGCTGAGCAGAGAATATCTCAGGGTCTGCATTGTCCTCTGGAGTCAGGGGTGACCTCTAAGGTCACAGGAACGTGAAGCTGCAAAAGAGCAAGCCTTGCTGTCGGGAATTGCTTTGCCAGGAAGATAAGACCTTGCAGGGAGACATCAGCTGCCTTGCTTCAATAACAAGGAAGAGCCTTGTGGCACCTGGAAGACGAGCAGATGACGGCGGCCTCAGATTTTGTGGATAAGAGTCGCCTTCAGCCGATTGGAAAGGAGATTTAAATCCGCTAAGTCTTTAAAATGCCAGAATACTCCCCTGTGTTGGGATAATGGGGGCAGGCACTGGACTATGACTGAAGGCAGCTGCTGATATAACTTTATAGACTCATAGAATAGTAGAGTTGGAAAGGACCCCGAGGAATCACAAAAGAGAGCTTGCTGGATACAAAGGGAACTCTGCAACCAGCATCCAAGGCCCGATTCTGCTATCTGGTATTTTGCATTGAAAGAGAGCATGATAATGTAAGAAGAGCCTTCTGGATCAGGCCAGTGGCCCACCTAGTCCAGCATCCTGCTCTCACAGCACTCAGCCAGGTCTTTGGCCCCACTGGAATATTAAGAATGGCAGAGCTGGAAGGTACCCAGGGGTCATCTAGTCCAACCCGCTTCAGTGCAAAAATGACAGCTACAGAATCCGTGACAGATAGCCACCCAACCTCCATTTAAAAAAGAGAGACTACCACCTTCTGAGATAATCCATTCGTGACTCTTAATCTCAAGGTCATGGGTTCGAGTCCCACACTGTGCAAAAGATTTCTGCGTTTCAGAGGGTTGGACTAGATGACCCTCATAGTCCCTTCCAACTCTAGGATTTCTGGGATTGGGGTATGGAGGCAGTGATATCCTCCGCCTCTTCCCCCCAGAGGAACCTGCATGTACAGCTGTCCCACCTCTCTCCCACAGTCACCCGCCTGCCTGCTGGGTGGAATAAATAAATGAAGGTCTTATATATATAATAAATGTTCATAAATGTACCAAGCAAACATGTACATAAATATATAAACCACATGTCTGAAGCAGCACAGGAAAGCAGCCCTGGAACCATTTTGGCTCCCAGACTGACCAAATGTTTTCTCTGCAAAGTCAAAGGAAAATGGAAAAGCCTCCCCATTGTCTTTTCCTTCACAAATCCTGTCTTAAGGGTATGTCTGTGTTTGAATAGGGTGAGTCTATGACCTGACTCAGGAACTAAGTATATATCATTACTAAGTATTTATCATTAGAAAAGACTGGCCAGGCTCCCCAGGGTATCCAATCAAGTAAGCATTAACAGGTAACTTGCCAGACAGGAGGTAAACAAAGCACTCTAATTTCTGTTGTAGACTGCCCTTTCTGTAATGTAGGTATGATGTTTCTGGGTGTGGTCTTGGACTCCAGGGTGGGCAATTTAAAATGTCTATATAAGGGCGGGCACACCTTTGTCCTGGGTCCTCCTCCTTTCCTGCACGTGAGGGGGGCAATTTTTGTTTACAAAAGCATAGAGACCTGAAAACGGTGGTCCTCATTTGCTTGATGGCTCCCTGCCCTCCTTCCCATCATTGAACTGGGATCACACACACACACACACACACACACACACACACACACAGACATACAGAGAGAGAGAGAGAGTGCAGGAGACACTTCCAATAATGGGAATAAAATCCACATGGCTTAGGGTCCAATGCCAGGAAGCAGCTATCTTCCTGGTTAATGATCCACAACCGACCTGCCGATACGCAAATATACACCACACGCCAAACAAGGATGCATTTAGTGTTTTTGCTCTTGCTGGTGCCAGCCTTTCCCCCTCCTGGACTCTCATGCAAACCTGCAGAACTTCCACAGCACCCCCACCCCAACGGCAGCCTTATGGGAAGTTTCCGGGCTGAAATACTCCTCGGTTCATTTGCAATCAATGCCCCAACAGCTTGCACAAGATGCCCCTCCCACATTTGGCATTCCCAGACCCTCCCCACCCCCTCCTTCTCTGCTAGCTGCATTGCATTTGGGTGTTATTGATTCCGTCTCCTGTTGCCAGGGTAACCCCGGATCCCACCCCCGGGATTTGACAGGTGAACCATATGCCAGCTCTTGTCTCTGCTAAAAACCGTGCCTCCTCCCCATTTATTATTATTATTATTATTATTATTATTATTATTATTATTATTAGGAGCTGATGCCTGTTATCGATCGCTGGGTGAGCAAGGAAACTCTCTGGCCTGATTCAGCTGTGCATTTGCTGTCTGGGCTTTGCCTTCCCTGTCTGGAACACAAGCGACATTCAACATGGCCAGTGCCTTGTTCCAAAATGTCATGGAAAGTGAAAATGAGGTTGTAGATTAAACTCTCTCTCTCTGTCTCTCTCACTGCAAAGCCAACAATGGAGATCCTAATAAATTGCACGATATTGTTTAAAAATCCTTAATCCTTGAACACTATTATACTGTTGTGGGTTTTGGAAGGGGGTCAGTCTGGATGATGCCCTAGTCCCCTCCACTTCTTGGGGTCCTGTACCCAGGGAGGGTTAGAATCAAACAGAGGAAGGTGCTGAACTGCTCAGACCAATTTCTTTGTAAGACAATGGCCTTAGCCCGCGACTTAGGTGTACTCATCACCATCACAAAAGTTCAAGCAAGAGTTACAACTAAATGGCAGTTTCCTCCAGGTGAATGGCGGAAGTGGGGCTTTCCTCCATCCCCATCTCCTAACCACCAGGTAGGAGAACATTAGCCAGGGTGGGGTGTGAGAGCTGAGCTGGAAACAGGCTGGAAGCTGGAGACACTGAAACAGGCTTGATCTCTGCTGGAGAAGATCTGCTGCAGTACTAATGCTGTGATCCCCTCCATCTGAGGATAGCTCATCTGTTAGAGCATGAGACTTAATCTCAGGGTCATGGGTTCGAATCCCAACATGGGCAAAACCCCCCGGCATTTCA